TTATATATTTATACATTATATGTATTTATATATAATTCGTAGATATATATATATATTATAGTAATAAAAATTTAATATTTTTTATTTTATATTATTTTATATATTATATATTATTTTATATTATTTTTATATATTATATTAATAAAGATTTAAAGTTTTTATTTTATATTATTTTATATATTATATATTATTTTATATTATTTTATATATTATATTAATAAAAGATTTAATGTTTTTATTTTATATTATTTTATATATTATATATTATTTCATATATTATATTAATAAAGATCTAATGTTTTTATTTTATATTATATATTATTTTATATATTATATTAATAAAGATTTAAAGTTTTTATTTTATATTATTTTATATATTATATATTATTTTATATATTATATTAATAAAGATTTAATGTTTTTATTTTATATTATTTTATATTTTATATATTATTTTATATTATTTTATATATTATATTAATAAAGATTTAAAGTTTTTATTTTATATTATTTTATATATTATATATTATTTTATATTATCTTTATATATTATATTAATAAAGACAATTTTTTTTTTAATCCGACATATATTTATTGCTTCAAAAGTTATTTTTAGTCGCTACCCGTATGTGAGTAGATGCTTCTTTTATTTATTTCGTCCTGTCCTGTGTAATTGAAAAAAAATACTAAATAAAGAAGATGTGTTTCTGACCTGCATTCCCCTTTACAAAGGAACCAATTTCTGATCCAGCCTGCTTTTAATGCTCGAATACGAATAGTTTCCAGATAGCTTCCAGATAAAAAGCAATTTTTGTATATAAGTATATGCAGTGCCTTGAGTAAATATAGAAGGAGCTCCAGATCATATACGACAGCAATATTCAAGGCGTGGACAAATGGTAGACTTATAAACATTTAAGATAGATTCGGGTGAGAAAGAAATTTTTTTACGATGTGAATGCTGAGCTCAGTATGATGGGCAGTGATTGGTTACCGTAATGTTTTGCATTAAGGCCAGAAGGCTCACTTTTGGTCTCATCTGACCGGAGCATGTTTCCTGTGTCTCCCACATGGCCAAACTTCAATTGGGACTTCTTATGGCTTTCTTTCAACAATAGCTTTCTTTTTGGCATTCTTTGATAAAAGACAAAATTGTGTAGTGTACGGCGAATAATTGTCCCGTGAAGAAATTCTACCACCTGAGTTGGGAATCTTACAGAGTTAGGATGCGACTCTTGGATGCTTCTCTGATTAATGCTCTCCTTGTCTAGTCTCTCTGTTTCGGTGGATGGTATTGTCTTGGTAGGGTTTGCAGTTGTGACATACTCTTTACATTTTCGGGTGATTGATTTCATACTGCCCCGTGAGATGTTCAAACCACTGGTATCTGTCTTATAGCGTAACCCCGCTTTATACTGATCCACAACATTATCCCTGACCTGTCTTGTGAAATCCTTCTTCATGTTACAGGCTGTTCAGTATTGTTCTCTCACCAACAACTGGGGCCTTCACAACACAGGAGAACTTAACTGGAAAGTGCAGAATTATGTATCATATTTATTTTCCTTTACTCAAAAGAAATCGTCATAATCAGGTGGACATTATTTATTAATTGTTATGGTCCAAGGTTAGGACCAAGGAAGAACAACACGAACACAAGAGTAGAAATAACGAAGGTATATTACACAAAACAATAATACAAGATGTGGAAGGTGTTAGCATGACTGTCAGTCTGGTTTAGAGTGAACTACTATCGGCTCGACTCGATTCGATATTTACTTGCCCTCACTCTCACGAGGGAAAGATGTGGCACAAGACCGAGTTTTACGTGGGTTTTCCGAACCCGTAGAAACTGTAAAAACAGAATCGGGTGGGTCAACCTCCCCGAGCGAAACTCTGGGCTTCGGTGGAGCCTCGTCCGGGTTCCTCTCTGTTCAGAGGCAGATAGATCGACCGTCAAGCCGAGAAACTCGGCTCGATTTGGTATCTAGCCCACCCACCCCCGAGGGTTGCATGTGGCACAAGGCCGAGTTTAACGTGGGTTATCCGAGCCCGTAGGCTCGGCCAAAAAATGCCCGTAGAACCCGTATAAACGGGATCGGGTTGGTCAACCTCCCCGAACGAGATTCTGCCCTTCGGCGGAGCCTCGTCCGGGTTCCTCTCTGCTCAGAGGCAGAGAGTTCGACCATCAAGTCGAGAAGCTCTGCTTGATTCGTCCCTCTCTCTTGAGAGGTGTAGTATACATTGTGTTAGGAAGAGTTCATTCTGTAGTTATAGGTAAGGACCCAACACACCCACCTCCCAAGCGTTTACCTCGCAGGGGTCATTAATCTTTTTTCCTCTTCGGATTAATAATCAAAGGCTCTGTAAATTTTCTTTTTCTGCTTGATTTCCGCGGTTCTGAAATTGCTTGAGGCCTTTGCATATTGAAGTTGCCAAATATTGTGTCCATTACTTCCTCCTCTTCTCGAGGTAGACCGTTAGAATCCTCTAACATAAATCAAGCGAATTCTGAAGGCAGTTAGTTGCAGTGGATTTTAATTAGGTGTTTCTCAGTAAAGGAGGTGAATACATACATATGCGCTCAGCTCTTTTTAGATTTTATTTGTAAATAATTTTAAAAATCATATAATATTTCCTCCCACTTCCAAAATGTGTACTTTTTTGGATTGTTCCATTACATAAAACATCAATAAAATACATTTAAACGTTCAATCAGTGAGCACAGCAACCCCATCGTAAAACAATTTTTCTCGCTCGAGTCTATCTTAAATGTTTATAAGTCTATCACTCATCCTTGCTTTGAATATTGCTGCCACATCTGGTCTGATGCTCCTGCTATATATTTAGAGATCCTTGATAAAATACAAAGAAGAATCTGCAATGTCACTGGTCCTCTGGCATCTCAGCTTTAATTACTTCCCTGAGTCTTTTCTATAAATACTTTCATGATAATTGTTCTGATGAACTTTTCTCTAAGTTACCTAGATTTTATGAATTTAAGCACTAATTTTAGTGATAATAAACACGAGAGAAATGTTGTGTAGTTACATGAAATTCAAAATTTTTAAAAAAATGCCCCCGTGTTAGCCTCTTTTATTAGCAACTTTACAGTTTAAATGGCTAGATGCAACCGTAATTTCTGTGCTAACAACTTTTTTCTGGTACTTATAACTTCTGGTAGCATACCTACGGACGATAATGGGTATGTCCCCATTCACATAAATACAGTAGTAAATACTATATGTTGGTATGCAGTTGATGATTCGTCTCCAGCTGTGATGGTCAAACTCTCTGGCTCAGGACAGAGAGGATCCACAGACAAGGCTATATCGAAGGGCAGAGTCTCGTCTTGGGAAACGGCTACCCGACCTCGGTTTATACGGGGACTATTTGGTCGAGCATAATGGCTCGGATACCCCACATTTGTGACCGCATAGGGCGCTTGGTAGATATCCTGCAGTTGAAGATTCGTCTCCAGCTGTACTGGTCAAACTCTGCCTCCGGGCAGAGAGTATCCCCAGGCTATGTCGAAGGGCAGAGTCTCGTCTCGGGAAACGGCTACCCGACACCGTTTTATACCGGGTATACGAGGAATTTTTGCCGAGCAGTTCCAAATTTGAATTTCTATATTCATATGTATAAACCAATCAGCGACGTCATATGATACACGCGGCATTCTTTGAATTTGCAGACAATTAAGATTTTTTGTTTGCTACGAAATTTTGAAGGTAAACTTCGGATTATGATCAACAATATTTTCTGTCCTTAAAATGAATATGTAAAAATCGGGCCGACCGATTTGACACCAGTCGGAAACTCTTACTCTTAGTTCACGCAGCGGAGAAAGGGATTTTTTTACGCCTTATATACGAGATATAAGCATTAACGGCTACAGGATGCTCAACTCATAGCGGAGAGCTTTTCCGGGTATTGGGTTGAGAAATTTCCCAGTTCCTTCTTTAATAATTCCAAATGCATCTACTATTACAGAGATAACAGTTGCTCTAAGATGCCACATTTTTTAAATTTCTATTTATTATTATTATTATTATTATTATTATATCACAACGTTTACTACTCCTGGACCTACAATGTTCCTAATTTCTTTGCATCTATGCTGATGATACAACTATTTGATCCTGTGTAAACGTTAAGTCTAATCGGTTCAATAAGATAAAATTAGCAGCTGCCCTACATTCTGTTGTTAACTGGGGCAAGAAATGGCTTGTTAACTTTGATGTCTTCAAAACAAGCTTGTTCTCTTTTAATTATCTGAGAGAAAAATGTTTTTGCCATAGCCTCAGAATGGCTTGAAATTACTAGCAAAGCAGGTAACTATCTTTCATAAACTATTCATCTTCAGATATAATCTCTTATTTTACGTTTCTCTCCTTATTTCTGTCTTGGGCAACAATATTATGTTTATTATTATGTATCTAAAAAATACCAATTTAATTTTTTTCATCATATCTGCTGACATCGAGAAAAAGAGAAGGGAAAACATAAAGAAAAACGAAGCCAGAAATGCCATACTGATCGCGTTGAAATTATAATAAAGAAAATAATAGTTACATGTTTTATATATGCGTATATTAATGTAGCTTTAATCACAAAAAACGTCTATAAAAGTGATTAGTTAATCAGAGAGTCAGCTTCGGCGGAAACGGAAGCCTAAGCAGGAAAAAGTGGATGTAAAAAAGCTTTAAAATATAGGAATTTGTAAAGCTGCAGTCAAATTAAAACTATCGTTGATGCGTTTGTAGAGTTCTGGTGATTATCAGATCAATATAAACAAAACTTTGTTTGTTATTGATGCAAATATTTTGATAGCAATTTTTATTTCATCTTTAGTTTCATACATTTCGTTTTTTTCTTTGTTGATTTCTTCTTAAGTATTCCAAGGTTCTTTCTCTCCACTTCTTTCTTTCTTTTTGATTTTTTCTTTGTTTTTTTTTAACCATTTTCTCGTATCACTTTGCAAGGAATCCCCCTTTTTTATGATTAATATTCTTTTTTTCTTTCTTTCTTTCTTTCTTCTGAAGCTTTTCAAGGTTCTTTCTGCTGACATCATTGCTTCTTTTTCTTTCCTTCTTTTTAATCACTGTGATTTTTTCCTTCTTTTCTTTTTCTTTTCTTTCTTTCTTTCTTTCTTTCTTTTGAAGCCTTTCAAGGTTCTTTCTGCTGACATCATTGCTTCTTTTTCTTTCCTTCTTTTTAATCACTGTGATTTTTTCCTTCTTTTCATCATTTCTTTTGATTGTTTCTTTCTTTCTTTCTTTTGAAGCTTTTCAAGGTTCTTTCTGCTGACGTCATTGCTTCTTTTCTTTCCTTCTTTCTTTCTTTCATTCTTTTGAAGCTTTTCAAGGTTCTTTCTGCTGGCGTCATTGCTTCTTTTTCTTTCCTTCTTTTTAATCACTGTGATTTTTTCCTTCTTATCATCATTTCTTTTGTTTGTTTCTTTCTTTCTTTTGAAGCTTTTCAAGGTTCTTTCTGCTGGCGTCATTGCTTCTTTTTCTCTCCTTCTTTTTAATCACTGTGATTTTTTCCTTCTTTTCTTTTTCTATTCTTTCTTTCTTTCTTTCTTTTGAAGCCTTTCAAGGTTCTTTCTGCTGACGTCATTGCTTCTTTTCTTTCATTCTTTTTAATCACTGTGATTTTTTTCCTTCTTTTCATCTTTTCTTTCTTTCTTTCTTTCTTTCTTTCTTTCTTTTGAAGCTTTTCAAGGTTCTTTCTCTTTGGCGTCATTGCTTCTTTTTCTTTCCTTCTTTTTAATCACTGTGATTTTTTCCTTCTTTTTCTTTTCTATTCTTTCTTTCTTTCTTTCTTTCTTTTGAAGCCTTTCAAGGTTCTTTCTGCTGACGTCATTGCTTCTTTTTTCTTTCATTCTTTTTAATCACTGTGATTTTTTCCTTCTTTTCATCTTTTCTTTCTTTCTTTCTTTCTTTCTTTCTTTCTTTTGAAGCTTTTCAAGGTTCTTTCTGCTGGCGTCATCCTTCTTTTCTTTCCTTCTTTTTAATCACTGTGTTTTTTTTCCTTCTTTTCTTTTTCTATTCTTTCTTTCTTTCTTTCTTTCTTTTGAAGCCTTTCAAGGTTCTTTCTGCTGACGTCATTGCTTCTTTTCTTTCATTCTTTTTAATCACTGTGATTTTTTCCTTCTTTTCATCTTTTCTTTCTTTCTTTCTTTCTTTCTTTCTTTCTTTTGAAGCTTTTCAAGGTTCTTTCTGCTGGCGTCATTGCTTCTTTTTCTTTCCTTCTTTTTAATCACTGTGATTTTTTCCTTCTTTTCTTTTTCTATTCTTTCTTTCTTTCTTTCTTTCTTTTGAAGCCTTTCAAGGTTCTTTTCTGCTGACGTCATTGCTTCTTTTCTTTCATTCTTTTTAATCACTGTGATTTTTCCTTCTTTTCATCTTTTCTTTCTTTCTTTCTTTCTTTCTTTCTTTCTTTTTGAAGCTTTTCAAGGTTCTTTCTGCTGGCGTCATTTTCTTTTTTTCTTTCCTTCTTTTTAATCACTGTGATTTTTCCTTCTTTTTTTTTCTATTCTATTCTTTCTTTCTTTCTTTTTGAAGCCTTTCAAGGTTCTTTCTGCTGACGTCATTGCTTCTTTTCTTTCCTTCTTTTTAATCACTGTGATTTTTTCCTTCTTTTCTTTTTCTATTCTTTCTTTCTTTCTTTCTTTTGAAGCCTTTCAAGGTTCTTTCTGCTGACGTCATTGCTTCTTTTCTTTCATTCTTTTTAATCACTGTGATTTTTTCCTTCTTTTCATCTTTTCTTTCTTTCTTTCTTTCTTTCTTTTGAAGCCTTTCAAGGTTCTTTCTGCTGACGTCATTGCTTCTTTTCTTTCATTCTTTTTAATCACTGTGATTTTTTCCTTCTTTTCATCTTTTCTTTCTTTCTTCCTTTCTTTCTTTCTTTCTTTCTTTTGAAGCTTTTCAAGGTTCTTTTTCTGCTGGCGTCATTGCTTCTTTTCTTTCCTTCTTTTTTAATCACTGTGATTTTTCCTTCTTTTCTTTTTCTATTCTTTCTTTCTTTCTTTCTTTTCTTTTGAAGCCTTTCAAGGTTCTTTCTGCTGACGTCATTGCTTCTTTTCTTTCATTCTTTTTTAATCACTGTGATTTTTTCCTTCTTATCATCTTTTCTTTTCTTTCTTTCTTTCTTTCTTTTGAAGCTTTTCAAGGTTCTTTCTGCTGGCGTCATCGCTTCTTTTTCTTTCCTTCTTTTTAATCACTGTGATTTTTCCTTCTTTTCTTTTTCTATTCTTTCTTTCTTTCTTTCTTTCTTTTGAAGCCTTTCAAGGTTCTTTCTGCTGACGTCATTGCTTCTTTTCTTTCATTCTTTTTAATCACTGTGATTTTTTCCTTCTTTTCATCTTTCCTTTCTTTCTTTCTTTCTTTTGAAGCTTTTCAAGGTTCTTTCTGCTGGCCTCATTGCTTCTTTTTCTTTCCTTCTTTTTAATCACTGTGATTTTTTCCTTCTTTTCTTTTTGTATTCTTTCTTTCTTTCTTTCTTTTGAAGCCTTTCAAGGTTCTTTCTGCTGACGTCATTGCTTCTTTTTCTTTCATTCTTTTTTTAATCACTGTGATTTTTTTTCCTTCTTTTCATCTTTTCTTTCTTTCTTTCTTTCTTTCTTTTGAAGCTTTTCAAGGTTCTTTCTGCTGGCGTCATTGCTTCTTTTTCTTTCCTTCTTTTTAATCACTGTGATTTTTTCCTTCTTTTCTTTTTCTATTCTTTCTTTCTTTCTTTCTTTCTTTTGAAGCCTTTCAAGGTTCTTTCTGCTGACGTCATTGCTTCTTTTCTTTCATTCTTTTTAATCACTGTGATTTTTTCCTTCTTTTCATCTTTTCATTTTCTTTTCTTTCTTTCTTTCTTTTGAAGCTTTCCAACGTTCTTTCTTCTGACACCATTCCTTCTTTTTTCTTTCTTTTTTATCACTATGACTTTTCCTTCTTTTCGTCTTATTTTCTTTCTTTGATTCTTTCTCTCTTTTTTTCTTTTCAGTCACCATGACTTTTTCCAACTTTTTATCTCATTTTCATTTTTTAGTCTTTTATTTGTTTTCTTTCTGTCTTTTTTCTTTCTTTAGATCATTCTCTCTTTTGACATTTCTTTCATAGAAATTAAGATGCTGATATGTGAGCAAATTTCTTATTATTATCTTTTTGGTCAATTAGTGACAGAAGAAAACCTTTCTTTCTTTGCACACAACTTATAACTTCCATATTTTATTCCCACAATCAGACTGTTTTTAATCTGCATGTTTTTATCGAAGGGTTTTGTACGACTTCTTTTTGTTTAAAATCGTAAAATCTTAAAATTGCTATAAACAAACACTGACATACAATTTTTAAAAAAGTAATTCATTTCAATCCTTTTGTTTATCGTACACAAAATCTTGATTTACCATTCGTTTACGCTGAAGAAACAGCAAAGAATCTAAAAATAATTATATCGTTCTCTCTCTCTCTCTTCGCGGGGGAAAAAAATTGATATTTTTTTCAAATAGGACATTGGCTTCCGATTGGCAGGTGTATGTTAGCCACGTGCTAATTTGGCAGATGCGCTTAAAAATCAATGGGAAAAACTCAAGGTTGCATTTTCGTTGTTCTGAATTGTTAAGTTAAATACGTATATCAGTTCTTTAAATTGTTATACCAAATATTTTACCACGATTCCTTATTTTTGAAAATTTTTTAAGCGGATTATTTTCTGTGGACGCATTAATAAAATTTATTGACGTTTGATAAATTTTATTTAGGCTAACATATTTTCAGCTTTAAGAGAGCGTATACGAAATACAGAGCTTTTGTTGTCTGTTCTATAGAGAGTTATATCAAAATTTAGAATTGATTCAGTTGCGTTTTTCGTCTATTATTAAAATGTACATGTTAAGCTGAACTAAAAGAATAATCTAGTGAAAAGAGAAAGATTTTGTGCCAATTTTGTTTCGTCGTCATTTTCGGCATCTGCTCGCATCCAAGCATCGGGATCGTCATCCTCTCTTTCTATTCCCTTTCTCCCCACCCACACCCGATGGCGGTGGCTGAGACGTTTGTGAATCAGAGAGAGTTTGACGAGGCTATTCGCGTGAATTTGATTTTGGTGGACAGCTTTGCGCGACGGAGAAACGCACATGCCTGACCAAAAGCTCCTCCCCTGCAGCTCAAAGTGGACGAGACAGGTTAGATCTGGCAAACCTGGTTACATCGAGCTGTCGGATACGTGGTCTGTCAAGGTCCGTCTTGGTTACGCCGGACCCACCGGCTCTGTCATCTTCCGCCATTTTGGCCACTGAGATGATGTAGATCTTTGTCTATTCCGCCGTTGGGTTCTTCGAGGGTCGATCGCGTTCAGTCTGGTCCTTCCCCTTCGATCTTACCGCCGTTGGTGGCCCTACAAGAGTTGGAACTTCAGACGGCTTCGCCCTTAGGATCACTGGCACAAGTAAGTCCTCTACTGCTAATTTGGTCGTTTAGATCCTGTAGATCTTTGCCTCCTACCACAGTTGGGGGTCTTCGAGGTTGTTCGCGTGCAGTCTGAACATATTAGCCTGAATATAAAACTCAGTAAGTAATATTAGTAATATTATCTGCATTTGAAATCACTCTTTTTTTTTCAATTAAGAGTTCTCTTGAAAACTATAAAAAAAAGAATATCAGGATCGTCAGTGGGATCAGATTACTGTTTTATTCTTCTATAGAACAAACAAGTATCCTCGATCTCTGATCTTCATTTACAAATTCTCTCTATTTTCTCAGCAATTTTTGTTTGTTTTTATTGCTTACTAAAAATGACCTGCTTTGTCAAGTTCTATTTCTTAATTGAATATTTCAAATTTTGTTCAACCATCCATATTTGGCCTTATAAAATTATTTTTGTATTAATTTTTTCCATCTATTTTTCTAACCGTTTATATTTGGTCATAGGAAACGGATTTTTAATTGAAATTTTCTTTTGCGTAATCATTTATATTTAGCCTTATAAAGTAATTCTATTGACTTTTCCATGTTTGTTTTAACCATTATCTTTGGCCTTATAAAGATATGTTTTATTGATTTTTAATCCTTTTGATTGACCATATTTAGCCTTATAAAATGAATGTATTTATTGGGTTTTACCTTTTATCTATTATCATTAAGATTTGATTATATAAAAATTTTCATCGTTTGTCTATTTATAAAATGAGGGTTTATTGAATTCTTAAATACTTTTGTTTAACGTTTCATATTGACCTTTTGAGGTGAATTTTTATTGAGTTTTTCATGTTTTGTCCAACTATTTACCTTTCCACTTGTAAAGTGACATTGTATTTTAATTATTCTTGTTGTTTTTTTTTCTAATTTGCATTTGATCTTGTAAAGTGACTTTTATTGAATTTATTAACAATTTCCCTACCTAACTATATTTTGTATGACATGTTGTTCTTGGGATATTTTTACAGTCTATTTTATAGATTTCTGTTTCAGGTTTTTATTTTTTTATTATTCCAGTTTTGTAACATTTCTTAATAATTTTAAAGTAGTTGTAACAGATTCTATATTAAAATTAGATAAATACCTTTCAGTTGTAGCTGTTATTGAATTGATAGTATTATGTACACATTTTTATAAAGATATTCTCTTCTAATTTAATGAATGCGGTAAACTTTTGTCTTTGCGTCACATGTAAAATAATTACGATCAAGTGATTTTTATAGATTTTTTTTTATCCTTGGTAGAACCATCTATATTTGGTTTGATAAAATAAATTTTTATTGAATGTTTGCCGTCTTTTGTCTAAGCATTTAACCCTATAAAGTGATATTGACATTTCCACAAGCAACAGTTGTGCCGTGTCATTTCAGGACGTAGGTGATCATGGCCCTCCATATCTTCTTGTCTCTTGTAGTTCTTAATAAGTTTTATCTTTTTGTTATTTCTCCCAAACCTCGTTCTGCAACCCATTTGCTCAAGCTCATCAAGTATGTTACGCGCTGCTTTCCTCTGTCTCTCTTGTCCTCAATCCGTCCTGTGAGTATCAGATTTTCCAAACCATCCTTCCTCATTACGTGCTTCCGAAATTTCAACTGACTCTTCCTGGTGTTAAGTGTAAGTTTAATTTTTGTTTTCATTCTCACTGAAACCTCGTTGTTGTTCACATGATCGGCCCATGGTATCCTCAATATCATTTTATGGACGCTACCGACAATTAAGAAACTCGGCCAATTCTTTATTCCTGCGAAACGGTAGACAAGGAAGTTCACAAATTTCTGTTCTACGGTAGATTTAACATTTCAGTTTAGCTGCAGTAATTATACTAGTATTTTCGTAGTGAATGAACAAGTAATCGTAAAATATCATTTATATATTTTGATATTTAATAGCTAGATAAAGAGACCAAAATTAATTTTAAGTCTTAAATATAATAATTTTAAGTTTTAAATAAATACCAATTCGACTTTATAAACAATGCGATGGATAAATTGTCGCCATTTTATATTTTTCTTTTTTTTTTTTATATTTTGTCGACTGCACCGTATAGTAGGGTCAGTTGGGTACTGTCTGGGAGAAAAAGAGCACCATGACGCAATTCACTTCGCCAGAAATTTGGAAACAGCATGCTGTATTGCTTGGCATTCGCGCCGGAAGCTACAATACGAACATTTCAAAGTGTTTGAGAACAGTGCAGAGGATTTGGAAAGAGTTGGATTACGAAGGTACGGCAGCTCGGAAAACTCACTCGGATCGTTCTGATATGAAAAGCACTTCTCAATTTGTTGGTAAAGGCCTCAGACTCAACATGGAGACCTACATCAAGTGTCTTGAGGTAGAAGTGTTGCCCTGGTTCAAGAGGATGCCTGCTAGAAGACCATATTTCTGGCAACAGGACTTTGAATCATGCCATACAATTTGAAGAAACCAGTCATAACTGTCAGACAAATTCTACGACCACATCACTCCTTACATCTAGCCTCTTAATACCCCAGATTTTCAACGCCCTTGATAATTTTGTGTGAGGAGAAGATGAGCGAGAGATCAACAAAACCCCTTGTAACCTCAAAGATGAACTGAAGTCAAGGATTATGGCAGCATTAACCAACTTAAACAAGGAGACCTTCCAGAAAAAGGCCTTATTTAAAGCCAATAGCGATTTTATTGAATAAATTTACTCTTTAGTATTTGAAGATATCTTTGTGCAATTTTGGTAAATATATCTGTTAAAATGATATATCAGTGGTTTTTTTTCAT